AAGTCGTCATCAGATTGAGTTGGAGTTAGAGGGAATGGAAGAAGCATGGCGTCGGCGTTCCTGAGGGGCGAGTCCACAGGGACTTCAAGCCTTTTTAGCAAGGTCATCTAGCCAAGGGTGAAGCCCCTGTTGCATGCCTGCTTCACCTACTTTTCGTAGTCTGCCGTAACGTCGGCCACCCCTTCGTTATAGCCTTTCTCGTCGGCGGCCTTAACTTCGGCCTCTTTTGTGGCCAGGGCATCTTGAAGTTCTTTTTGGGCTTGGGCCATCTTCTTCTCGGCTTCTTTTTTCTTGGCCTCAAGAACCTTCTTAATGGCCTCAACAGATTCTGCCTTTTCTTTGACATTATTTTGGGCCTTGATGACAGCCTCGGCCTGGTCTTCCAACTTCTTCATTTTTTATTGTAAGCCTTTGTTGGCCTTTTACAGACTGGTAACTTCTCTTTTCTTGTCTGCCGGTTCTTTCCTATTCTCAAAGGATTGTATTGAGAAAGAATGAGCATGCTGGATGGCCTGTAAGTAAACAGAACAGAAGTTGTTAGAAAAAATTACAAGTATGGAATGAACAGAAAGAAAGAAAAAGTTGCCAGATAAAGACACTTACTTGAACGAAGCGTTGAAGCATCAGGGTGTAGTTTTCATACTCGCTCAACTCGGCGTTTCAGTCGAGATCGCCGGGAAGAAGCAGAGCGGTACGGAGGGCTACGCCGCCGTTAATGTCATCAGCGCTATCGTTGGCCATAACTGGCTTATCCTCCAGAGTAATTTTGGGGGCCCAGGGGGCATCATGCTTTTGAGACCCCGAGGTCGTTGCAGAAGATGATCTCGGCCTTTTTGATCTGATGGATTCTGATGGATGTGTTTCAGCAGACCTCTTCTCGGGGACAGAGGCAGTCTTCTCGCTCTCAGCCAATTTGGAAATTGGCAAGGTGTCCTCAGTGTCAACCTGAGTCACCTTTGCCTTTGGTTAAGCCTTTTTTATTCTTTTTTGTTTTGGTGGAGGCTGGGTTTGCGTTGGCTGAGCGTCAACGTCAGAAGGGATGCTGGCTAAGAGGTCTTTTGCAACTGCTTTTTGATGGCTCATCTCAACAGTAAAAACGGATCGTCGCCGGCGTTGGCGTTGGGATATCGGGATCAAATATGGGGCCAAGGTTAATGGCTACTCGGCTGGATCAGAGGTTGATCCTTGGTCTGTCCGAGATGTGGACGCGACTTATGGAGTTGTGGCAGAAGGTGGAGAAAGGCTTTTCTTCTTCTTTTTTGGGACGTCGGGAAGAGCCGACTTATACGTGGGGATGAAGTTGAGAAGCAGTGGGGCCTTCTGTTTGAAAACTGATAGATCCAAAAGTCTCCTCAAGTCTTTGCAGGGAAAGAAAGACTGACAGAAACCCTTTGGTGGCTGAGGAAGAGCTGCAAACAAAACAGACGTTAGAAGCAGATAAAATATTAAAGACTTTGAAAATTTTTGAAAAACAAACAAGTATGGACGCAGGGCTCTTACTATTGCCCTCTACAAAAACGGTTCGATGAAGAGGGTAAAAATGGAGGTCCTCATCTGGAGCGAACTACCAGTTCCCCTAGGTAATGAAGTAGTCGTCTCCAGCTCCCTTGTTGGAGTCTGGGAGGTCGGTTACAATTTTGTACTCTGTAGATCTTGGCTTGAGGTAGTAAACGTAGCCCCTATCTCTTTTTAGGCCACACATGGTGTAGTAGTACTGGATATCGGCTAAGGTAATCCTAGAGTTTTCTTGTTTGGCTAAGGCTATGATGCCATTAATAACTCGGTAGGAGTTGATGGCAAGTTGCATTGGGTTCAACTTATAATAGTGGATTATCTCGCGGAAAAGGATGTTGAGTGGAAGCCAAAGTCCGAAGTCAATAAAGGCTACGACATGGAAGGGCATGGAGTCAGTTGTGGGCATGATAGAGTCGTCTTCCCCAGCCAACCTCAGATGGGCGTCGGCTGGGATGTCAAACTCCTGTCTAAAGTGCTCTAATTCACTCGGGGTGTCTACCCTATGTTTCCACATACCCATAATGTCGACTTAACGAAAAGAAGATGGATTTCAAAAGAAAGCGTTTTAAAAGGGTTATTGAGACCTTGGCAAAAACCTAAAGTATGTGCTAGGTAAGGATTTGTGGAAATAGTTTCAGTTTTTCCTAATAATCGAGGGTTCTACAAGCAAATCCCAAACCTAGATCTATGGAAACGAAGATTGAATGCACGGATCTGGAAAACAGAAAAACAGGGATACGTTTCAGAATCAAGAATGACGATGAAGCCATCAGGAAATCAAGACAAAAAGTTTGCACAGGTGCATCAGGCCAAAAACAATGGCAAAAATCAATAGGAGTATGAACAGTGTATATTCAAGAAGATGATTTGGGTAAAAATAGAATCATGAAACAAACATGTTCAAATATGTGGTGGAATACAAGATGCGAGATGAAATATCAAAAATATGAACAAGATCGCAAAGACAGTAGGTAAAACAGTAAAGTTCAGTAAGGTAACAAGAAACTGAAATCAGGAGGAATAGTGGCTTACCAGAAAGAGGGAAGCCGAAATGGGGATTGCCGAAGTCTGACGACGGTTGCGAAGGCGGAAGATCGATGAAAATCACGTCGGAAGGGGTAAACGGAGCAAAATGCAGAGCTATGGAAGCTTGAACAATGGCGTATTTAGAAGCTAGAGAGAGTTGAGAGCTTGAAGATACGAAAGTGAGGAGACCAAGAGAGAAGAAAAAGTTTTGTTAAAACTTGAAACGGCGGCAAAACAAAATTAATGTGCCTAAAACAACGTGAGTGTCAGACGGCGCAGGCATGCGCGAGATGATTTAGAAGCGCGTACCAAGTACGATCTAGTGAGGAAAAGACACGTGGTTGAAACGGTCGAATTGTGGTGCATGACAGCTCATACGCGTGAACAAGCTCTTGGAATTTTTGATCTTAAGAAGACATGTCGGCCTACAATGATGAGCTCGGCTTAAGCCGATGTACTGGCAAGAAGTACCGATATAGGTTCCATCACCTCAGAATGCCGAGGTAATAGAACCTAGGGGGCAGTTGTGGTGGGGATATATTTTTTAAGTCCCAACACGTGGCCAAGGTGACGCCGACGTGTCAACCGAGGTGCCACGTGTCCAGGTCATAACGCCGAGGTTATCTCAGCGAGGCCGAGGTTATCTCTGAAGATATCGGAATCCGAGATAAGCGGATAAGACACAAGAGTTCTAGAATAAGGAAGGACTTTAACATGGATAAGGATAAAGTTCTTAGGGAGTTTATCTTTATCTCTTGGAGAGTTCAGGATAAGCACTGAGCAAGAGTCTATTGAAGCTAGGCTTCTAGTGGGACAAGGATTGAGTTAACTATAAAAGAGAGGCACCCCCGATGGGTCTAAGGTACGCAATTTATATTCTGAACAGTGAGTTTAGCACTATTGATTATTGTTGAGAGATATACTGACTTGATCGTCGGAGTGCCCCCGGGTGGACGAACCACCGCCGGAATCTTCTCTTGCTGTTGCAGGTCAGTCAGGTGTCATCTATTCTGTCAGTGCTCTCCAGCTGAATACTGAGTTGGGCAGTGCGGTCGGAAAATCACTCACACAGGGATGGTGGGTAATGTTGTGCAATGGACTACTGAATGGATTGCGGCTGAGCGCGAGGTTAGACGTGAGAGCAAGTTGCTGAGTAAAGTTTTCTTCATTGGATGGTACATCTGGAAAGCAAGAAATGACTTCATATTCAATCACATACCAGTTAGCCCAACTGAGACTATCTCCAAAATAGCACGGGCATGGTTCGAGTTCAAGGGACAACAGCAGTGCACAAGAGCCTAAACTTGCAGCGGTGTATCCCAATTCCACGAGAGCAATAGGGACCAGAGATGGCGGCCAGCAAGGGCTGGAGCGTTAAAGTTCAATTGTGATGCGAGTTTCAACTCAAAAGGGGCTACAGCTTCAGCTGCTGTACTCCTTAGAAATTCAGAGGGGCGCCTTGTGTTGGCAGCTCAACTGGCAATCACTCGGAATCCTGAAGCTGCTACCATTGAGAGTAACAACCTAGAGGTTATCAAGCTGGGAGTTTCAGAGAAGGTTCCTCCTTGGGAAGCTTTGGCAATTATCCTTGATATTCGTCAGATGGTAAGACAGGAAAATCTTAATCTGAGATGGACTAACAGAGCAAACAACACGGCTGCCCATTGGACTGCACAAGCATGTGCCCATAACAGCCTTCCTGTAGGATGGGTTTCAAACCCTCCAATGGCACTCTCTGAGATTTTGAGGATTGATGCTCTTCCTGGGCCCCTGTGAGGCCCTCTTTTTGTACTCTTTTCGTTCAAAAAAAAAGAAAAAAATAGTGGGCATAAATGTTGTCTTTACCCCCCCTAAAAAAAACATTAGTATAAGCTATCAAACAAGAAAAAAATAGTGGGCATAAATGTTTAGCCTTTACCTAAATAATTGTTTTCATAATTATCGGCTTTAATCTTAATTCATTACTTGACGTGTTGTACTTTTTCCCTTTCTTTTTTTGATACAGGTACTTTTTCCCTTTCAAGGTGAGCTTGTTATCCTAAATAATTTTTTTTATATAGTACCAATTTAATCCAATTAATAACATTTAAAAAAAAAAAAAATCATTAGACAAAATTATTTATTCAATCTCTCTATAATTAAGGGATTGATGTTTAATTTGAAATAATTTATTCTTTTTAAATATATTATTTTCTATTAATTTACATCCGATTTCTTAACAAATGTTGCAAGATGGACCACCACCATGAGAAAATATGAATTTAGACAATAAAGATCACATGAGCTTGATGGTGGTGGCGGTACCATCATGATTCTTTCTTTCTTCAGATGAGGACAAACCCTTGACAATCACATTTATGGATGTGCATTTTTACACAATTATAAAGATCATATAAAGCTTTTTTTCAACTTCCTCGTAATTATAATAATATATCTATTTGTGTTTTTTTTTCTTTTTTGTCTCTTTCTTCCCTGCAGCATTTTCCTTCTCTTCTATTAGAAATATTTTTTTATTATCTATCTATCTATATATACATAGATTTTACAGTAGTATTAGGAAGGAGGAAGGAGGAAGTTTGAGAAGAAAAGAGTACAAAGATGGGTTTCTTGACACTCTTTGAGATGGCTTCCATGCCTATTCTGCAGGTGCTCATAATCAGCACATTAGGAGCTTTCATGGCAACTGGTTATCTCGATCTTCTTACCCCTCCTACACAGAAATCCCTCAACAAGGTATGTCCCCCCCACTCAATAATATATAAATTTCCTTGCTCTTAAAAACATTCCTGCGATTGGATGAGTTAAAATGGGTTATGCATTAACCAAGGCCTAATCTAGTTGGTTATCATGACTCTCCTAAGGGCTTAATCCTCAGGGGGAGATCATGGGTTAAACTCTTCCTAAAGGAGAGTTGAATCAGGAGACAAGTATTTGGTGCCTTGCAATAGTGGAGAGACTAATTCTCATATATGTTAATCTAACAACTAGAAATTGACTTCAACATAAACTTGCTCATTTAATAAATTGGTTTAAGATTGGGTTGAAATGGATACATGTTGGACAAATCAATTTGACCAACTGTTTATTGAATTCTTGTTCTAATACATGGTGGAAATGGTGGTGGTAATGGTAATGGTAGTAGTGGTGGGGTGTGTTAGAAATTTGTAACATATAACTAGGATCATTGAAACACGAAATATATAAACAAAGAAATGCACAAAAAGATAAATCATATGAACACACAAGAAACATAAATTTTAAATGTGGTCTTACTATGACCAGAAAAATTACAAGAAAATTATCATAAAAATTAGGAAAAATTGTAGACAAATCTATTTTTAGGAGAGTGTATGATATTAGGTCGAATGATTGTTTTGTTTTGGTTGTAAGAATATAATTAATGAAATCTATTTCAAGTGGATTTTCGACGGATTCATAGTTTTGAGTTAAGTTGACCACCTCTATAATGGATATAGTAATTAAGGATGCCTCAGCTCTCTTCATCTCATGACTCATGTTATTGACAAGAATTTTGATGTGATTACAGATTGTGTTCATGGTGTTTACTCCATCCCTAACGTTTGCAAGTCTGGCTGAGACTGTCACCTTCAGAGATCTCATTGCATGGTAGGATACTTTAGCAACTTTCATGCCATTTCTTTGTGTATCCTCTTGAGATCTGTATATTTCACCACCAAAGCAAGGTCTAAAGAATAATAAGAATTATGGAAGTTATGGTTTGTAAGAAACTATATAAGAATTAAAAAGCAAAATTTATGGAAGTTATGGCTTGTAAGAAACTATATAAGAATTAAAAAGAAAAACTTTGTATATAATTATGTTTAGAGGAGTACTATTCACACACTACAATTTTTTTTTTTTACGGAAATTTCATTTCATTGTAATTTTAAAAAATATTTACATATTAATAATAAATTTTACAACATTAAAAAATAATTTTATAAAGTTTTCATGAATTTGAAATTATTTTTTAACTTTACCTGTGAATTGTTATTTCCTTTTTTTTTTAACTACATTTATGTCCCTTAAGCAAAATCACTTTTTTGACCAAAATTTTAAAATCTAATATCTCAATATGCCCCTTACACACCACCGGCCACTCTCATCACCACTATGAAGCCCATCCCTCATTGTCCACCCATCACCCACCTCTTGTCACAAGCCATTACCATCACGACCCTCTTCCCTAACCACCATTGTAGCCCCACACAACTCTCTAACCCCACTGTTTCACTACCTCTTGTCCTCATGACTACTACTATCATATTCCCTACCTCCCTTGTAGGCCCACATCCCCGCGACGCCCCACCACCACAAGAGTCAGGATCGTCGGCCGCACAAGCCTGCGGCCATTCTTGCGGCACCCCAAAACGACTTCGTTTTGGGGGAGATTTCAATTTTAAAAAAAAAAAAGCAGAGCAGAAACCAGAGGGGAGGGGAAGAAAAGAGAGAGGAAGGGAGAAGAAGAGAGAGAGAGAAAGGGAGAAGCAAAGCAGAAACCAAAGCTCTCTTCCAGAACCCAAAATCGATGTCTTGTTCAGTACTAGTACCATTCCTCCTCCAACCTGATGTGGGTTTGGAGTTTGGAAGGCTAATTTGGAGAGAAAGGTCTGGTTGTGCTGGAAATAACTCCATCTTCTCTCAAGCCAAACAAGCCCTCTAAAACTCTTTATCTATTCTTCTTTGTCCTCTCTCTCTCTTCTTGTTCTTGTTTTCTAGGTCTTGGTCTTGTGGTGTACTTGAACAGTAGTACGTAAGAGGCTTTGTCAAGGATCAGAGAGGCTTCTTGAGAAGTTTTGATGAAATGGGTTTTGAATTTTCAGGTAAGAGATTTCTGGGTTTTTTTTTTCTTCAGATGGGGATTTAATGATCAATTGAATGGAGTAGTTGCAGAGATAAAAAAAACCACCGGCGACTGCGATGACGCCCTCCTCCTTCTTCTCCCTTCTTCTTCTCCTTTCCTCTCTCTCTTCTTCTCCTCCTTCTGGTTTCTGCTCTGCTTTTTTTTTTTTAGATTGAAATTTTTCCAAAATGACGTCGTTTTGGGGGTGCCACAAGGATGGCCACAGGCTTGTGCGGCCGAGGATCCGGACTCACCACGACAACCCCCACCTTTTGCGATTCCAAACCTAGAGGGAGAAAGAGATCTGTAGGGTTTTGGTTTCTAGATCTAGGGATTGAAAAAGAAGAAGAACAACAACAACAAGTATGAAGAGGAGTAGGGTGTCGAGTTGGTGATGAGATGGTTGCAGAGGGCAAGTGAGAGGGTGATGACTTAAAAGTTTTAAAAAAACATAGGGGGGTGAGTCTATACAATTTGGAGATAATCATTAACTAATACTGCTATAGTAAAGAAAGTTTTTAAATCGTAAGGTAGGCAATCACCTCCTCTTACCCCTTTTTAGGTCTATCCTTGGCGGCAGCCATTGATGGTAGTCGCAGGGTGGTGAAGTTAGGGTAAGGGTTAGAGTTTGAAATTAGAAAAGATGAATATATTTTGGTATTATTTAAATATAAACGGCATGAATTAAGAGAAAAAAAAAAAGAAGGATAAATTACAAATACACTCCTTGAGATTTGCTTAAAATACGAATTGCCCCTTGTGATTTGAAAAATTATAAATACCTCCATGTTAGAATTTTTTATTTAACAAAATTAATTAAAAAAGTAAAATTTCTAACTGTTCACCTATATAATAATAAAATTATCTGAATTATTAATTAAAATAAAATTTTAACATTGTTAACAACTTGTAATTAACTTGATGATTTATTAATAAAAGAACCTATTTGTTATAAAATTAAAAACCTTAGGGGGCATAATGTAATTTTTAGAATCACAGGAGATAATTTGTAATTTAAGTATATCTCAGGGGTTGTGTTTGTAATTTATCCAAAAAAATTAAAATTGAGTGTGGCACGTACTGAGAACAAGTGCTAATGCAGCCATAAAACTTGCAAGAAAAACATTTTTAATATGTCATTTTTGCTATATATGTCTGATTAATATGCCTAAAACATTTTTAATATGTCAGTTAACTGATTTTTGTGTTTTTTGTCATCCTCTGCTCAGGTGGTTTATGCCTGTCAATTTGGGCCTAACATTTCTCTTGGGTGGAATGCTAGGATGGATAGCAGTGAAACTTCTAAAGCCCAAATCAGAATTAGAAGGATTGATCATTGCTACATGTCGGCAAGGGTTTTCCAAGCGGTGATTATATTATATCATATAAGCAGCTTTCGATTCATTTTCTAAATTTTTATCTAAATTTATGATTCAAACACAGTTTTAACGAATGTTTGGATTGTTTAACAGGAAACTTGGGAGGGCTTATGTTGATAATTGTACCTGCAATCTGTAGAGAGGATAGTAGCCCTTTTGGGGATCACAAAATTTGTAGTTCCGTTGGACTCTCATATGCATCTTTCTCCATGGCGGTATTGCAATTTTGCATGCTTTATTACCCCCCACAAATTCTCTTAAGTGTTTTTTTTTTAAAATAATTACAATTCAGTGATAAATTTTATAAATGTTAATAATTAAAATTTTAAATTTTTTCATGAATTTGTAATTACTTTTTAAAAATTTCACTGAATTGTAATTTCCTCAATTCTATTGGATGAATATATTGTTTTCATTTGTCTATTTAAAAAGGATGGCTAGGGATCGAAATTAGGAGACTTATATGTAGGTCTTAATAAATGTACTTATAGTCTAATAGGTCTTATGATAATTAATGGCATGTTTTATTAAACACTATTAAAAAACGTTAGTAATTGTTAATTTTTATCGACAGTTTGAAAATTATCACAAAAAATGTTACTAATTATAAGTTTTAGCGATTGTTTAAAAAAATCGTCAAAAAAAGTCACTAATTTTCAACTTTCAGCAACAGTTTGAAAAATCCGTAATAGAAAAAGTCGCTAATTGTACAATTTATAAAAATCGTGACAAAAAAGTTATTAATTGTCAATTTTTAGCGACATATACAAAAAATTATTTAGCGACGCTTTTATTAAAATTTATTTTCAATAAGACTTTATGAAAATTAAGTTTAACTATAAAAGGCTGTTGATAATTTACTCGAAATTATTAAACATGGCCGAATCACAATAATATCAACAACAATGATTCATCCTCCTTTTCCCCTCACCCTCTTTTACCCCCTCTCTCTCTCATTGGTTACTTTTTCTTTTTCTTTTTCTTTTTTTTCTTGCTCCTCCAATCACCACCCGCCACGTGACAAAGGGGGTGAGGGGGTGACCCCCAAAAGAGGGTCCCAAGCATTATTCTAATATCAAGTCTCAAAAAGGTTAGAGGTGACTCAACCTTAGTCATGTTTAACAATTGATTTTAGGATAGTGTTTATTTATTTCTTTTTTTTGGTCATATGAGTGTAATGATGACTCATAAGAGGAATAATAATGATAATATGATAGTTTATTTTTATATGTATTAAATAAAACTTAATAAGAGATTTTTTTTGCCTACTTTTGCTTTTAGTTTTTATTTTTCAAAAATGCGACTATCCCAGATTTTTGAGGCCATAATTTTTTTAATAAAGCATTTGTGTGGTAGAAATTAAATTGATGTAGTGTGAGTTTAGGTATGAAATGAATCTAAAGCACAAATTGATATTTCTGGATAAAATTCGAAATAAAATTTCTAAAATTGTAAAATACTTTTTTATGTACATATACACAACATTAAATATTTATAAAATTATAGCTTTCAATTTTTAGGAGTCTAGCTCTCGTTTGAGAATAAACTATTTTAGTAATTTTTTGACTTTTTACGAAAAAATATACAAAAAAGTAAAGAGTGATATGACAACTTATAATAATTTTTTAACTTTTTTTTATTAAAATAATTATTTTCCAAACGACACCTTAACTTAATAATTGTCGAGCCACTATTCAAATGTTGTAATCTATTATTCATATTCGCAGTTTGGTATATTATGTTTTCTATGTTTTACAGCTTGGTAATATCTACATTTGGACATACACTTACCAATTAGTAAGAAGCTCGGCCTTAAAATGCAAAGCTATAGTTCAAGTACCAAACAAGGATTTAGCTGCTAATGTCAAGACTCATCTTCTTCTTGAGGGACAAGTTCAACAACATGTTACGCCATCAACAATATCTACCCAAGAGGATACAGATAATCAAGCTGTTGTAAGTCCCGTTTGTTTCGGTTTCCTATTATTTACCGTCATTAAGAAGAAAATAAGAGCATTAAGAGCATTTTCCAACCCTTCGCATGCTTTTTTTTTTTTTTTGGATCAAATTTATTTATCAATTTATTTGATATAACTTAGTCCAATGTTGGGAATAAAATTTTTCGATAAATCTTTTTAAAAAATACCTAAGTTATCCCAAAAACCTAAAACTAATATCCAATTCTTAATTTTTTAACAATTTCATCATATTTAAGTGAAAAAAGAATTGTGGGAAATTTGATGAAAATTTTGATTCATCCCTGATTTGATGGTGGAAACTTAATTTGATATAAATTTCATGAATGGACTAGATCTTATTTTTACTAAATTTTTCATAAAATTTAAATTTAATAAAACATTAGAAATGTTTCAAATAGACAAGAACATCGTAACGGAAAGAGAAGAGAGTGAGTGTTGTAGAAGATAAGAGTAAAAATGTTCAAGTTGTCCTTTTCACAATAAAAAAAATATAAAATGAAAGATCTAAAGAATTAAAATCTTTTAACCTGAACTTCTCAGATATAAATTATCTGAGAGACTTTTAACCAAAAATTCCAATTTTTAAATCCTAATTAACATTCTAATATTGGTAGATTTCCAAATAAAATGAATTTACCGAAGTCTTTAATTATTTGCTTATCCGACACCACAACCACCAACCCTGTCTATACATAATTCAACATTCCTAATTATTTCCAAAAATTCTCAAATTAACTTTAATTGCAGATTGTGTCCGAAGCATCTACCAGCAAAATAGAGAAAGGGAATGTACCATTTTGGGGTAATGTAACAGTAGTTCTCCTCCCATTATTGGAGCAACTATTGACACCGCCAACCCTTTCTGTGGTAAGTTCTCCCAAATTTCACACTTCCTTTATGTGCTCAAATATGAGTCTGAACATTTTTACTGTTTTTCTTTACTCCGAAGCATAAAATAGCATATCCATAGTTTTCTCCATTCATAATCAGATTGTCGGATTCTTTTTTGGAGCTGTCCCGTGGCTGAAAAATCTCATAATTGGCGATAATGCGCCTCTAAGAGTGATCCAAGACTCCATCAAATTACTTGGGTATGTGTATCTTTCATGGCATAGTGACAGAGCAATGGTGAAAAATATGCTTCTTGTTTTTATAATGATAATTAAAAATCATATGATACTAGCCCTATTTGGTAGTGCTTATTTTCAGTTTATTTCAGTTTATTTCTGTTTTTAGCTTAATTTAAGCTATTTTGATGTGTTTAGTTCAACTTAACAATACAACTTATAATTTTTTGTAAGTCAAAAATCAACTTATTCTTTGAGTGGAGGAGGAGAAGGTTAATTTATAAGTTAAAAATTGGCTTATGTTCATAGTTATAAGGTATAAGCGGTTAAAGTATAAATTATAATCACTTTCTCACAGCTCTACCAAACGGAGCCACGAACAAAACTCTCTCTCTCTATGTGTGTAATAATTGCATCTGTCACTTTTGAAATTCATTACTTGCTGTATAGGGATGGAACAGTACCTTGCCTCACCCTTTTGCTAGGAGGCAACCTCACAAAAGGTAGAATGAGCTCAAAAATGTCCTATTCAAATTTCAAAACTCAAAATAATAATAATAATAATGGGAAAATTAGATAGTATTTATTTAACAAATTATAATTGCGCCATGGAATGACTTGAACAGGACTGCGCAAGGCAAGTTTAAAACCAATAATGATTGTTGCTGTCATCTGTGTTCGCTACGTGTTTCTCCCTTTGATCGGAATTGGCATAGTTAATGTTGCTGGAAATCTCGGCTTCCTTCCATCGGATCCATTGTACCGCTATGTCCTACTGATTCAATTTGCAGTACCACCTGCCATGAATATTGGTAAGAATTATTAGATTTTTTTTAATTGATGATTTGTTTGTTTTATTTACAAAATTGGGATTTACGTTTTGATGATATATTTGCATAAATACAATACTACATACACACCGAATTAAATCACAAAAAAAGATTAAAAATTTACATATTAGGACGGTAAGACTCACTAGAAGTATCCTCATTCACTAGTATCTTCATTTTTAGTTCAATGAAGTGTATCTGTATTTGATATTATAGTTACTTTTGTATATAAGACATAATATTTCAGCTTAATAATTGTTCCCCCTCCATTAAAATCCTAACTCCACCGAAGAGTGTAAATGACTAACTGTATGAGCACGAAATAATTCTTCTCGTATGATCCTGTTGATCAAGTTTGTGCTTCTCCAAACGTCGTCGCTTTACTTCCTGAAAACACAACTGTGAGCTAGCCGGCGGGTGTGTACTGGAAACTCCTCTGATACTTAAGTCAGCAACTAGACAATAGACAATAAGCTCTGTGTATTCTAGAGTTAAGAATTGAAATACCTGTACATAGGTCTGGTCATTAGCTTTTGTAGACTTGGTTTGGCCTAATCCTAGTAGGATTCCAACTCTCCTTATAAGAGTCATTCTAAGAATCACACACCCTATTCACTACCAACTAAGTGAGATGCTCACTACCAACTAAGTGAGATGGTTTGCACAATCCTAGTAGGACTTTAATCTCCTTAGCAGAGTCCTCCTAGGAGTCACACTCCTACTCACTACCAACCAAGTGAGATGGTTTGCACAATCCCAGTAGGACTCTAACTCTCCTTAGCAAAGTCTTCCTAGGAGTCTCATCACTACAAGCCAAATGAGATGGCTGAATCCTTTACCTCGGTTATGCATTCCTGACCGAACTGCCTTATCTCGGTCCCTTGCCATTCAGACCGTGTGATCGAAAGCCGATCTATCAAATGCCACCCTATCGAGCTATACACAGCTCGGCCCTCGCCATTGATGTTACCTCGACTCCGTGCTCAACATGGGCGAGCTGTGATGACCATGCTACAAGTTGGTATCCTGCCGAGCAACACCTAGCTCGGCCCATCGCCCTGCCATCATCCCGGTCAGAAGGTAAATAGGTCCCAATCCCAACAACACATCCAACCATCTTGGTACCTACCTCGGCCTAAAACCGAAATACAAAATATCTCACTGGCCCATTGCGCGGCCCAACTTCCAAGAAGACTCGTTCTAACTCAGCCTAATTTGCTCACAAATTACCTTCTCGCTAACCATTCAATGTTGTAAAGATAAACGGAACATTGTATTACTTACTATTTTTGAGCTTTTCATAGATACTGAAGTGGTGATACTCTTTGCCTTAATAAGAGAGCAAGTAATTATGGAGATTGAATGTACAAGTGTCAAAAAAAAATTGGTCGAAGCCTTAAACCGTCTAAATTGAATGGTTTGGTCCTTTTTTAAAGAGATGATTTTATACTAGTTTCAATAAATTAAGAAGCGTTGATTACGGTTATATTTAGGTTTAGATTAAAAAAGACTGAACTAAACCGGACCAAACCAAATTGTTTCTTACTTTCTACTAATTGTGATATATAGAGAGGTATTCACTAGGAATTTGTTTTGTTTCTCATTGACTTCTCAGAACTTCAATCTTATTTCGATATTAATGACATCTTCATTCATCCTATTTACAAATTATATTCTCTATATAAGCATTGTTTTTTTTTTTTTTCACTATTTATATGATTTTTTACATTTGCTATATTATTAAACATTGTTTTCCTATAATATACAGAATTGTGGAACAGATCCAAAACGTAACCATTTTTATAATTTAGTTATGATTTGATTCCAAGATCTCATAATTCAATTTGGTTCTCAAATTTTTGGAACTATAAGATTTGATATTGTTCTAGATTCACCTTATAAAAACTGAATGAATTCGGTCCATAAATACCCCTAATTAAATAATGATGATGATGATGATGATGCAGGTATCATGACCCAACTCTTTGATGTGGCACAAGAGGAGTGTTCAGTGCTCTTCCTGTGGACTTACTTGGTCGCTAGCCTCTCCCTCACTATATGGTCCGCAATCTTCATGTGGATCTTGTCCTAAAACCCCCATTGGCTCACAATTTGTCAAGGGTGATTATAACAAATTTATAGCTTCTATTTAATTTAATTTAATTTTGAGCAAGATTTAGAATTGAAATTATTCGTTAATTTTTGTGCTAGAAAATTTTCTAAATTTGAATCGAAATTAAATTATGATACATCTTTATACTATGCATTTTGCCTACCAAGAGTATATAAAAAGGTACACTCTGTTTTTGCCTAACTAATTTATTTAGTTTGTGTTCTGACATAACTCTCTAACTTAATTAATTTTTAAAATAAAAATGCTACATACACAATAAAAAAAAAAATTTAAAATACTATGGTTGCGTTTGGTAGAGTTTTGTAAATATGATTTAAGAGTATGAGTATTTTGAGTTTGTGAGTTGTAGAATTATGATTTGAGCGTAGAAAATTTGTTTGGCTATGGTTTTTGAATAGAGTGTTAAAGTGTGTCTTGAATTGTATGTGGAATTGAATTTTGAGAGTTTGATGTGACATGTGAAATAAGAAAATTTGTTTGGTGATGAGTTTTTAAAATAGTTTTCAGAATTTAATTCAACCTTTAATTGATAATCAAACACACAACTCATATATCGATATCCGTATTTTTTTTCAACAGTCATAACCAAACTATTTTTAAAATACTCAAATTAAAAAATGCTTTTTTTTAATTAATTGTTTTTAAGTAATTTTTTTGAATAAATTTTTTTGTCAAATAATTGTTTTTTTTAAATAACTTCTATGTTAATTATTTTGTGTCAATTAATTTTTGTGTGAATTCATTTTTTAGGCCTGTGCAAAGATTTTGTACAATATGTTTTTAATTTTTTTCAAAAATTTTGTTCAAGTCAACAACTTTGAAGAATATATATTGATAACGATTAACATAAATCAGTGTGTTTAATATTTTTAAATACAAATCAATACGTAAACGTTACCAAACATTTTCATTACTTTTTCATTTAAAACATTTTATTAATGTAATAAAAAACTTATCTGAAAAAAGTACATGCATTATTGTACTCTTGCAAGTCACTTACCCGTGAAGGCCACAGAAGGTCATATAATTGGGGGAGTGTTATTTGTGTATAAAATTACCAATTCACCCTTCTTAATTTGAATGACAGAACAAAATAAAAATGATAATATTGTAATTTCACATATTCAATACACCTATCCCCTCATATCCATCACTGTGGAATAAAGAAAAAGAGAGCCAAGGACAAAAACCTGCAGACATGATCAGTATACGAATGCAATTTCAAATAAGTAAGGAAAAAAAAATCAGTAAGAAATCAAAAGTAAGGAAGGAAAAAATAAATAAAAAAAAAAGCTTCTGGACCTTATGAACCTTGGACCTTATGAACCTCAGACTCTACATAAGATTTGAGTCTGCACCATCTTCACCATCCAGAATTCCAACACACAATCTGAGCCCGTCTCGTTCCAACACCTTCAGCAGCTCCATCACACTATAATATTCACTACATTCAGTGTAGAAAGAAGAGAGAAGAGGTTAGTTCATATTATTGATAGCTTCAGAGCTGAGTTGTAGAGAGGCGAATTGCAGGTGAAGAACAGCCACAGGGACAACCGGCCGGTTATCCGGTCCAGCCTCCACTTCGCCCTCCGCACCCAATTTCACTATCTGTTGCTTATCTGTCCATTTTTCGCACCAACATGATACATTTTTCATAAATTTTTCTTAACTTCGCACCAATATCATACATTATACATTTTTCATACATTTTTTTTAAACTTTTACATACATTTTTCTTAACATTTGCAATCATCATGTCGAGAACAAAAAGAGCGAGACCTGAACGTGGTGAAACCTCTAACCTTGTACAACGTGAACCACAACAACAACATCATGACTATCCAACTAATGATTTTCTCACATAGCATCATGAACAAGCCTATTCAAATTTCGTTAATCGACCAATTGTTATAGGGAGAAAGGTAAAACTACATTCTCAATATGATCAACTGTTGCTTGGCAGATTGGATACAATGGGTTACCTTTAATTAATTTACCACATAAGATATATCCCCGTCTTGTACAATTATTTTATGTTCACTTGACATCTGCTAACCAACAAATGGAACCGTTCACTCTAACCTCTTATGTGAAGGAGAAAGCAATTACACTCAGTCCCCGCACTTTCGCACAAATTATTGTAGTTGAAATAGAAGATTTACAATGTTATTTTCAAAATGAGGCTCAGTTAGCTAACATTGTTGATGATGTAACTGAGGTTTATACCACAATTTGTGAGAATCAATTCACCAGCATTAATTTACAAGCTAAACATTTAAAACCCCATCTTCGTGTTCTTCATCGATGAATAGTTAAAAATGTCACTCCCAAAAAAGGACATTTTGATGTTGTTCCATGTTTTAATGTTTATTTGTTATATTGTTTTGAAATTGAACAAAAATTAGATTTATGCTTCATATTACTGAGAGAAATGATGGTTGCAAAACTTGGTACTTTGAGTGGCCGGTCACTACCTTTTTGAGCTTTGTTAACCACAATTTTTAGAGCACGTATGTCAACCTTGAAGGTGAAGTAGATGTCAGAATCACTTCACCAATTTCTGAGTACACACTGACCCGAGCTGGTAGTGCTGACAACTTGATGGGCTCTATTAATTTTGAAAATGAACCAATACCTGATGAGAAAGAACCCAATGACAATGCCATGCCATCAAATGAACAACCCCAATACTGGATTGATTATTTAGCCTTGGAACAAGAACGGTACAATCAGCACCTACAATGGGAATAACAAATGGCTAATCAGGTCAATACATTGGGTACTCGATTCGATGAATTTACCGCCGTTCAGAACTCACTAATTCAACAATTTGGTGAGTTTCGTGTAGACTCAAGGAGACGTAATGAAGTGGCAAGGAACCGCATTGATCAGATTGACCAGGGAGTCACTCAGGTGTACCATCACTACTTCCCTCCACCTCTACCACCACTTGATAATGACGCTTAACTTGTTTCGTTGAACGTTTAAAAAATTAACAATTATTGTGGTTACATTTTATTTTCTTATTTTATTGTGGTTATTTTATTTTCTCATTTTATTGTGGTTATTTAATTTTGTTATTTTGTTGTAATCTTTTGTATTAACGTAATAAATAGAATTTTTTTCTGCACTGTAAAATTTACCAGTGACAATGTTATAAAAATTTGTGAGTTATATTGTGAAATTAAAAAAAAAAAATTCGTACAGAAATTAATAAATATGTAACAAATCCTTCATTTCAATAAAATGCAAAAATTAAAATTAAAATTAAAATGTAAAAAGTCTACGAATTAATCAAAAAAGTTGTTTTAATAACAAAATCATTATTTATAAAATAAGGACAAAAACAACTTCAAAAAAATAATCGGCTCAAATGAAATAGAACAAGGGACAAATTAATAATTATACTTTTTTTTTAATAAGAAGCAAATAAAAATTAATAAAAACTTATTTGGTATAATGTCTGAAAATAACAAAACTATTATGTTAACATGAACAAGAAAACAATTAATAAAAAAACAATTACATTAATAACAAAGCCTTCAAATTGTTTGAAAATGAGAAAAGTAAATTAATTAAAATATGTCGTCTACAAATAAATTATAAAAAATTAAAATTAACAATAAAACCATTATTTTACTAAAATGAGAAAAAACAAGTTAAGAAAAAAAAATTGATGGTGTTATATGAAATAAAAAAAAGTTCACTTTATAAAATGGGGACAAGCATACACAAATTTTGGAAACGATCTTCTATTTAGGTGCACTAATAACATTAAAAGTTGTTCGGCTTGTGGGGACCCATCACGGACCCGTTTAAATAATCTGAACCGTTTAATATGTAGAAATCGCGGAGTACTATATGCCTATGAAAAATTATCCTGATCAGATATAGGTAATAACTATATGATCAAATCAGTTTAAAATTATAAAATTGACGGTGTTATAGTTAACGGTTGAAAACGAACTAATCACATCAGATAGCTATCCATATCCTATCAACGTGATTTTTTACAAGAATATAGTACTTCACGAGTTCTACACATTAAACGGTTTTGATTAGCAAAACGGGACCCGTGGTGGGTCCCCATGGGCCGAATAACACCTCCAATTCAATGCCCGAATAACATGGAAACATCTCACAGCCTCTAGTCTATCAACGCTATCACTGCATTCAGCCCACCGTACAATCTATTCCATCCAATCTTCTCCTATACAGTAATTTATATAATTTTTTAAATACACATTTTTCCGTAAAATGTACAAAATTTATCCCAAACAACTATCTTTTTTTCCTCAACCTTTCAGTCCAGAAAGTGAAAAAATGGATTTAGTTAGGACATCCCAAAAAAATAATGAATAAAAACTTGTTTTGTATAATATACGAAAATAACAAAACCTTTATGTTAACATCAACAAAAAAACAATTAATAAAATGAAATAAAAATTAATAACATAGCCTTCAAATTGTTTGAAAATGAGACAAATACATTAATAAAAATATGTCGTCTACAAATTAATTTTAAAAAATTAAAATTATTAACAAAACCATTATTTTAATGAAATGAAAAAAAAAATTAAGAAAAGGAATTCGGCTAAAATGAAATAAAAAAAGTTAAAAAGTAGTAATTATATATTTTATTTAATACCAATAAAAAAAATTAATAAAAACTTTTTTGGCAAAACAATTACTAACAAAATCTTTATGTTAATAACATGAAGAAAAAAAAATCAATTAATAAAAAGACATTTAAATTAATAAAAAAGCTAAAATTTCAATAAAACGAAAAATATAAAGTAATAAAAAAATGTCGTATACAAATTAATAAAAAAATTAAAATTAATAACAAATCTATCCATGGCGAACAATTTGTTTTTAATAAAAAGTTCATGAATATCATAAACTGAATGAATATCATAAACTACAATTTTTGAATACATCATTCAACCATCACAAATCTAGCCATGACCAACACGATTTTGCCACATAACAGTAGAAAGTGCATCCCTAAAGTTAGATTGGTACGTCAACCCATGTTGTGACATGTCAACATAGTCAAATTGGTGTTCAACAAGCCCGTCTGCTTCCCCTTCAGCCGCCATTTCATTATCAGCTTCCATGAAGAATGGGTCCATTACTGCATGCAAACGGATCCAATTGTGCACTACACAACATGCAATCACAAGAGGCCCTTGTCTGGTAGACTTGTAATTTGGCATAGACCGCAATATTGGGAATCGCTTCTTCAGAACACCAAATGTTCTTTCTATGACATTGCGTAACGACAAATGTCGATGATTAAACAATTCCTTGGGTCCTGAATAATGACGACTATGAAACTCTTGCAAGTGATAGCGTTGGGAACGAAATGGGGCAAGAAATCCAGGCATGTTCGTGAAACCAGCATCCACTAAATAATACTTCCCTATATGTAAACAATGAATGCGTTGTTCTATCAAACATATCACAAACAAAACAATAATTTGAAAAAGTGTACCGTATGTTATTTTATGACACTCACCATTGGGTGGGTGTGGGAACTGTAGATCAACTCTTGTAATAGAGTCAACTAAAATAGCTTTGTCGTGTGCGCTACCTTCCCATCCAGAATTAATAAATGTGAACAACATGTCGAAGTCGCAAGCTGCGAGTACATTTTGCGATACCGTAGATTTGCGACCGTGGAATGTATTTTGTCTTGAAACAGAGACCCATGCATCCATCAATGTGCCATCAATAGCATCGACACAATCCTAATTGAAAGATATTTGTTTGACATTAAAAGCGAGACAAACTTGGATATTACTTATGCAAACGGATCCAAAAAAATATCGTCCCTTATTGTTATGTAAAACTTACAGGACAATCATTAAATTCATACCTTGAACCACGGGAAAAACCTCATGTCATTTAAAATTTTTGTCGGAAACTCGTCTTGGTTAGGTGGTTTAATAACCGTTGATGCAAGCTTGCACAATGCCCGCATAACAATTTTTATGTACCGACAAATTGTTTCCGATGAGTGTTGAAATCTATCTACCAATAGTCGATGCCGATCATTTTGTGTAAAAGTGTATAAAAAAATCCCAAGCGATTCCTCCACACTTATATGCATATGTTCAGTATCGATAAAGTCATTTTGGAGTAAGGTGTCTTTCAATGAAATGAATGTTAGTGCATCCATTCGCATAATGTCCATCATTGTTTCTGGATGGCCATTTAATAAGCTGGAGATGTAATCATCCCTTTTGAATGGATAAGTTCGCTGCGGTCGACGACTACTTGACGGGTTGATATGGTCATGCATGAAAGCAATCATCAAGAAATCCATAAAATCTTCAATAACCTCATCCTCCTCTGATGAGATCTCCATTGCATTGTTTTCTATGTCGGATGACATCGTCTACATCACAGTAAAAGCATAATTACAAAATAATGTTTGACAAATCGTAACACACCATTATTGGTGAAACTGAATTAAAAAGTAGCTACATGAATAGTCGGCCTTAGTCATTTACCAGCATACATTGAAATTCATACAACAACAAAATTTGTTCACTAAGTAGTCATATTGTAATAACACAACATATTTTTAATAAAACAGAAACTACTTAAAAGTTCAATAAAAGTAAACATACGAAGATAGAAAAGGAAGAGCATCTCATTGAATAAAAAAAATGACAAAAAACAAATCAGGAATCATGAAATCATCTTGCACATCGGCAGGGAGATTCGCTAACACAATGAAAACACAACTTCTCACTTCACTGCAAAGCGAGGATCATAGTTAGGCGCATGTCATAACCCAAACCTGCCTCTATAGGTTTAGCATCGTAATCGGCCAGTAATCCTTGGATTACCAAAGGCCTCTTGGCATAATGACATGTAGTAGGGGCTGCGGAAGCAATTAATCAAGACATACATAGCCCATAGAGCTGTGCAGACATACATGGAGCAGATAACTTAAAAAATTTTATAACAATAATGCAAACTTCACACATTACTTCCAGATACACATTACTAGACGTTTTGTCCAAACACAACATAGTATAAACATAGCCTAACATGATTACAAAAACAGCCATGAAACTAGACTTCAATCGGAACCTCCTCAGGAGGCACAATGGCTGGCTGACAAAACTGAAGTGTAGGCCATCAACTCTGGGTCTGATCTCGTGCTTGCTCACCTACATACATAATATAAATAGTGAGCTAAAACCCAGTGAATAATAACAAAGTAAAGACTTTAATGAATGATGCCTATAACATATCTTAAATCTCATAATAGAGCAAAATCATAATTATGTAACGGAGCTGAATCATAATCATGTCCATATTCAAATCATGTGTGATACATCCCTTAGCACAAACATGTCTCTTGGGTCAAGCTTATTAAGTTCCATGAAGGAACCTCCGGTACCGGGTAACATATCTCATGCAATAGCCACAGTATTATTTCCCCTGCGCTAGAGCCTGTGCCACGGTATTGTTTCCCCCATGCGAGAGCCTGGGCCATGGTATTCTTTTCCCCGGGCGAGGGCCTCATGACCATAAGTCACAGTATTATGTCCCTTGGGTGAGGGCCTCGGGTAAGGATACCACAATTATGTTTCAAGAAAATTGGAGAATCATTTATTCATACAAAACATAGCATTTCAGAAGCTTATCATCTCATATCATCATGAAAATAATTAAAGTTAGACATAACTTTACATAGTTATTACTCACAGTTGACCTCGGGTGCAGACAAACAGAGCAGATTAATCAATTGATTCGCGGCACGCGACCTACACGAACATATATACAAATACACACTTGAAACACTTGTTCAAATTTTTCATAACTTGCTTTATTTGTTCTAGGTGTGTTTCTAGTCTTTATCCTCATTATAGTGACTCAAGCATGGCCTAGGATAGAAAGAGGATGCAAAATACACATGGAAACATTTCCCAAATTTTGTTGAAAATAAGGTCCACACTCGAGCATGGATTTCCCCGCTCGATCGGACATGCAAGATGTGAAGGCTCGCTCGAGCGTGGCTTTCCCTGCTCGAGCGAACTGCAAAACTCAACAAAAGTACTGGATGCATGATTTCCATGCTCGACGGACGCTCGACCCCCGCTTGAGCGTGAGACTCAGACTTTCGCTCGAGCGTGAATTCCCTCGCTCGAACGGACTACAAAACATATGAGCTTCTGGGTATATGCATTTCACGCTCGAGCGTGATTCACACCGCTCGAGCGGAAGTGCATGTACTTAGAGCGCACGCTCGAGCGTGAAGTTTCCCGCTCGAGCGTGGATCAAATTTCTGGAATTTCCAAATTTGATCCACAAGTTCAAATCTAACCTTCAAGCCTTCAAACTCCATTTTTCTGGGCCAAAATTTTGGAAAGCTCATAAAGACTCATAGAATAACATGTTTCAAGGATCAATTCAAGAAATCATGGCCCAAAGTTTGCCAATTGAACAAAATTTAACATGAACTCAAAGATGTTTTATGGACATGACATGCATGGACTTCCTTGGAGCCCAACACGTCAAAACATGATCAAACATGATGATTTGATGGAAAACATGGTGAACTCTCAATATGTAAATGAGATGAGCACATGCATGGAAGTTTTCTTGACAATTAAACTCAAAACATGGGAATTTATGCATGCATGCATGGAACCATTTGACTTCCTTTAATCCTAGCCCAAACCTTACATGAATTCATTTAATTTGTTGAAATCTTGTAAAATCTAGTTCAATTACACAACCAAGAGCTTGATGTCTTACCTAGTGACGTGAATTCTCAAGGATTGAAGTTAAAGTTCTCTAATTCTTCATAATTCACCAACAATCCTAGAAATTCCAAGGTTTGAATCCAATTTCCTTCTCACTCTCCTCTCTCCCACGTTTGTGTATGTGTGAGGAGCTCAAATGTGATTAACCATCAAGAAAAGAGTTGAGTGGGGTCTAAATGGAGCCTTATATAGGCTTCATTAGAGTTGATTTAATAAGACTAATCAAATGGGTATTAAATTGATCCAATTTAATCGTTCCAAATCGAATTTCAATTGAACCTACTACAAAATTCTAAAAATTGTAAATAGCACGTAAATCAAGTCAATTTCTGTATCGGATGTCGATAAGGCCCTCAATTCGCAAACCGAAACGAAAATAAGGATAAATCTTCCTACGCTAAACAGATAAAACACAAAAATAATGCAATGCACATGTAATTAACTCATGATCTCTTCTTAATTACTTGTTAAGCACACTTAAACATGAATTAACATTAATTAAGGGTCGGGGTTGTTACAGCACATATGGGTAGGAGTACGCATAAAAAACCTTCGCCATTCCTTGTCCTTAAACAGTGTCAGTGCCCTAACGTACTGCACTGGTGGTATGTCTCCAAGCTCTAGCAATGCATCTTGGCATGCATCAAAGGAATACTTATCACCACCTACACTTACAGCCTCTGTCTCATTTTCTCGTGCACGTTAATGTTCTATTTTTGCTTGTACGTAGGATGTGAAAGCTGCGTATACATCATCGAACCCACTTGACCGTGACTTTTTGGAACGACCACTGTCAGTGTGGCTACTTGTAGGGCCCCTCTTATGACTTTTGCCCTTCGAATCCATGTACTCATCGCAGAATAAATCAACAGGAATGGCCTCAACAAGAATGGCCTCAGCAGCATTACTCCCACCAACATCAGGGTTCCAAAATTTATTTAACATTTCATCTTCTTCATCTGAGTCAAGGGCTCCTTATGTGGATGTACGAGACAAGGCCCCTGTGGCACAACAATTTTCAACAATTTCTGCCATTCCTTGGAAATACTCAAATCCTTTTGTCCTAAACTTCTTTATATTTCTGGGAGCCTACAACAATTGAAAATAATGAATTAAGCATACTGTATGTGTCATGAAATGTATGAAGGAAAAATTTGAAAATGGTACAAGTTAATGAAGAACCTTATCCCAAAATTCATCGGGTGCAACAACAGTACCTATAATGGGATCCCATTCCAGACTAATCTGTGCCTGGAGTTGCTTAAATTTCTGGTAATCAGCTTTCAATTGCTAATATTTTTGTCGCACCTGCTTTCCTGTATACCGAAATCCATACAAATTGTGCAACTGATTTGCATAATGATTCCAATGCCTAATTGTCTATGAAGTAGTACAGTCCGTTGTTTGATTTTCTTTTACCTCCTCTCTCAACATGTTTATTAATTTCATTTCAATTCTGGGAGTCCACATTTTTGTATCTTGATTGTCATTGGAATTGTTTCCATCCATCTATAAACATACAAATTGTATTTAAACTACTCTGAGATGGATATAAAAGAATAACAGAGTAAACTACTCTGGGTGTGGATATAAAAAAATAATAGAGCAACAATTATTTATGTAGGAACGAAAACTAATCTTTATTTTAAAGTGTATAAATAATGTTAACAAAAGCAGATGTTATGAAGGACAACACAGATAAAATAAAATAAAACTACATAGCATTAATGTTTACTTCAAGTTGCTAAATAATGTTAGGAGAATCAGATAATTTGATTTGAAGGGCAAAAGAGAGAAAATAAAAACACATAACTGATTATAAAAACATAACTGATTTTTTGAAGGCCCAAACAAAGACAATCCAAAAAAGCACGTAACATTGTCTGTATTTAAATAGTAAAAATACAACCACAAATTAAGTAAAAGAAGAAGGCCACGAGAAGAGAAGGAAGAAATACGCAGAAGAACTAGAGGACGACCGGCCGGATAACCAGGGTACACCGGCTCAGCTATTTTGCTTGGCAAAAGGTGCAAACAGTTCAAACAGGTCATTTTTCTTATCTCAAACTATCTGTATACTCGTTTGGACTTCTCAGAAATCATTTGAGAACTAATTTCGACTTCTCAGAAATCATTTGCAAATAACATATGAAGGATATATTTACCAGATTAGTGGGAGTTGAATAGTTATCACCGGTAATGGAGTGTGTACAGTGACTCAATGTGCGACTCTTTGCTAATCGACTGATTCGACAATAGGTTTCATGAATTTGACCTGAGAGAAATAAATAATTGGAATAAAATTATTTATTTTCATATTTTATTTTTTTGGAAAATAAATTCTGACCGTTTGAATTTAAATTTCCAACTTAAATTTCAAACCCAAACAGAACCTTCATGTACAGTCCCATATCTGTCCAAACAGATTCAGTTATCTGTGCAAAACACAAACCGAACAGATTGTATCTATTCAAACAAGACCAAACAGGTTCTATACTTGTTCAAACAGGTTTGCACCTGTTTAATTCAAATCTGAACAACCACATTTTCTTCTATAAATAGACAGACCCTCTATTGATTTTTGTCATTCAGAAATTTCGTTCTTCTCTGCTGCTTCAATCTCTGCATTTTGCTGCATTAATTTTTCTGTGAAAAAGAGTGTAAACACAAAGTGTGTTCGTTGTGCAAACAGTTTGTAGTGCTGCTACTGTTTGTTGTTGATCATTTTATCTTGGGAGATAGACGTCCATATTCTAAAAGCACCGTGGAGATGATGAATCTGTCTTAAGGACGCAGTGTTAAACACTGGACTTGATCAGAATTTTATTCAATAAATACATAAGGTTAGTGATTAATTTACTTTTTGTTTTATCTATTTATTTTTATCAGATTCTGATTTTGTTTTTGTAACAAAATAAGAATCTATTGTTTTATATTATCTTCTTTACTAGTTTAATTTTTGTAATCAAACAATCTCTCTCATTTCTTTATTTCTTCAGTTTGTTATTAAGTATACAAACATAATTTATTCCTAATACAGTGAAGATTTTCCAATAATCTTAAGACAGAGTATTTTTTGGTGTCTTCATTGTATTTATTTTCTGTGCTTTTTACAAAGTGATATTCTGGTTGGAAAATACAAATAGTAGTCATATATTATTTGACAAATAGTAATAATATACTGTTTATTTTCTGTGACAACTAGTAGTAATATACTGGTGTCATTAACAATTTCATAATATTAATTTGTTTAATAGTGTTACCGAAAATTATTGTGTAGTAATTTATTTTCTTGGTTTTAGTAACTAGAAAAATAAAATTATTTTGTGTTAAAATTAATTTTCTAGTTAATAACTTTCTAGTTTGAGTAACTAGAAAATTAATTTGTGTTCTGGTTTTTTTGATTTTTGTAATTAGATATTATGACTATTGAAAGTAGTACTCCAAATCCGATTGTTACAACAACTCTAGTCCCTATCTAGAACTATATTCAAGTTCCAATAAATCATGGAGAAAAATCACAAAAATTTAATGGCATTGAGTTTAAGAGATGGCAATAGAAAATGTTGTTCTATCTTACAACTCTAAATCTGGCCCGGTTTCTCTGTGAAGAGGTTCCAGTACTAAAAGAGGGTGAAAGTGATCGGCAAGATGTTGCCGCTGTAGACGCTTGGAAACATTATGATTTTTTGTGCGAAAACTACATCCTCAATGACATTGACAACATGTTGTATAATGTTTATAGCTCTCTGAAAACAGCAAAAGAATTGTGGGATTCTTTGGAGAAAAAATACAAGACAGAGGATGCCGGCACAAAGAAATTTGTTGTCGGTAAATTTCTAAACTTCGTTATGATAGACTCCCAAACGATAATTTCTCAAGTTCAAAATTTTTAATTAATTTTGCATGATATTCATGTTGAGGGTATATCTCTGCGTTAGTGGAAAAATTACTACCGGCTTGGAAAGATTTCAAAAATTATTTAAAACTTAAATGCAAGAAGATGACCATGGATGAATGGATTGTAAGACTAAGAATTGAGGAAGATAACCGCAAGGTTGAAAAGAGGAATGGTAAAAATCTCATTGAGTCCAAGGCTAATGTGGTTGAACATGTGCCCAAACCACATAATACAAAGAGGAAGTTTGGTGGAGATGTCCTAAATAAGACGACAACAATGGCAATAAAGAATTCAAAGGCAAATGTTATAACTGTGGCAAGACCAGACATCAAGCCTTTGATTGCCGCCACCCTATGAAGGATCGCGGAAGTACAAGCAAGAAAACTACCAATCAAGCCAATGTGACAGAACTTGATTACATCTCTGACGAGGTAAATGACATCAATCTTTCTGCTGTAGTGTTTGAGGCTAATTTGGTTGGAAATCCCAAGGAATGGTGGGTTGACACTAAGGCAACTTGTCACATTTATGCGGACAAGAAGATGTTCACTACTTACAATGAGGCTGCAAATGGTGAACAACTTTTCATGGGAAATTCTTCTACTTCTACTGTGGCTTGACAAGGAAAAGTGATCTTGAAGATAACATCAGGGAATGAACTTACCCTCAACAATGTACTGCATGTACCAGACATCCAGAAGAATTTAGGTTCTGGTTCTTTGTTAAGTAAAAATGGTTTTAGGCTTATATTTGAGTTTGATAAATTTGTATTAACAAAGAGTGATATGTATGTTAGTAAGGAATACATGAGTGCTGGTCTTTTCAAGTTAAATATAATGACGGTTGTACTAAAACTTTCTGTTAATAAGAATAACACATCTTTTGCTTATATTCTTGAGTCAAATTTATGGCATGATAGATTAGGACATGTAAATTTTGATGCTTTGCGTAGACTAATTGGTTTGGATTATATACTAAAGTTTGAAATTAATCTTAATCACAAATGTGAGATTTGTGTAAAAGCAAAACTAAGGCTCCATTTAAATCAGTTGAAAGAAAAACCGAATGTCTAGAATTAATTCATACTGATGTATGTGATCTTAAATTTGTTCAAACTAGAGGAGGCAAAAAGCATTTCATAACATTTATCGATGATTGCACAAGATATTGTTATGTATACTTACTTAGAAGTAAAGATGAAGCCTTAGAAATATTTAAACTCTATAAAACTAAAATTGAAAATCAACTTGGTAAAACCATTAAAATGGTTAGAAGTGATAGGAGTGGTGAATATGATGCATCATTAAATGAATTTTGTGCACAACATGGCAGTATTCACCAAACTACAGCACCCTATTCTCCACAGCAAAATAGAATTGCTGAAAGGAATAATAGAACCCTTAAAGAAATGATGAATGCCATGTTACTAAGTTCAAACTTACCGCAAAACTTGTGGGGACCCTGAGTTATCAAAAAATTATGTTCTTAACAAAATACCCCACAAGAAAACCAATAGCACTCCTTATAAATTGTGAAAAAGTCGACCACCTTCTTACAAATACTTAAAAGTGTGGGGGTGTTTGGCAAAAGTTGAAATTCCTGTTCCGAAAAAGACTAAGATAGGATCAAAAACAATGGATTGTGTGTTTATTGGTTATGCTCAGAATAGTAGTGCATATCAGTTTCTGACATATAAATCAAAAATACCTGATATAAATGTAAACACTATTATAGAGTCAAGGAATGCTTTATTTTTTTAACATGTTTTTCCTTACAACAAAGGACAAGAACTAAGTTCACATAAAAGAACTTATGGTTGTACACAAAGTCAAGAAATTAATGACAATCAAACACAAGAGACTAATAATGGTCTCAACCAACAGAATTTAACTGATGATAAGCCAAGACGAAGTAAGAGAGCAAGAACATCAAAATCTTCTGGTCCATTTTTTCTGACATGCCTGTTAGAAAATGAACCTTAAAGCTTTAAGGAAGCAATGACAAGTCCTAAAGCACCTTCGTGGAAAGAGGCTGTTAATAATAA